CGCGGTCATGAACTCGAGTTTGTAAACTCGCGGTCATGAACTCGAGTTTTTAAACTCGCGGTCATGAACTCGAGTTTGTAAACTCGCGGTCATGAACTCGAGTTTGTAAACTCGCGGTCATGAACTCGAGTTTGTAAACTCGCGGTCATGAACTCGAGTTTGTAAACTCGCGGTCATGAACTCGAGTTTGTAAACTTGCGGTCATGAACTCGAGTTTGTAAACTCGAGTTCTGACCTCGAGTTTTTAAACCTCGAGTTCTGACCTCGAGTTTTAAACCTCGAGTTTTTAAAATTTGAGAGTTTTGGAATTGCGAGTTTTGGAATTTATTTCGAGTTTTAGGAACTCGATGTTTTGGATTTCGACATTCTAAAAAATTTCAGAATTTTCGGAATTTCTCGATGTTTTGAATCTTTCAAAGTTTGCAGTTTCTTGGAACTCATAATTTGAATCTTGACATCCTTTGCAGTTCATCGAAGCTTTACATTTTAGATATCTGAATGATTCCCTGTTTATCAAAGTTTTAGAAGTTTTCGATGTTCTGATGTTTTTCAAACAACAAGTTTTCGATATTATGATGTTTTTCGAAACTCCAAAGTTTTCGAGGTTCCAAACATTTTGAAATTCTGAAGATTTCGTTATTCTGAGGTCTGTTTTGCAGGTGGATTTCGTCATTACTCTTCAAGGCAAACTCGAAATTAAAATCTCCAGATTTGGATTTCGAGTTTTTGCCTTAGAATTTTGTTTAAATTCACCTGCTCTCGAAATTCAACATCGAGAACCTCAACCTCGAAGATTTTCCTCAAAAACTCAAAATTAGAGATTTTCTGCGACACCGCACTGTTTTGGCCATAACGTTTGACTCGGTGATCCGATTTGAGCAAACTTTTTTTTGTTGGAAAGCTAACGCAAAGATCTACATTAATTCTCGGGCTACGCCCCAGAACCCAATCTCACGCGCCCTCACTCGCAGCCCTTGAGAGTCAAAACGTTAGTTTTCTGACAAACATTGTAAATCACCGATGTCCAGGTCAAAACTTAGGCAAATCTGTTCAAATTCTTTCAAAGTCAACCCTGAGGTCAAACATTTTCTAAACCTAACTTTAAGGTCCGAAAATCGTAGATAATTCAATCAACCTCGCGTCAACGGTCATCTTACAACAATCAACAATCAACTGCTGAAGCCTCCCCCGACTCATCAACATTATGTAATCTTCAATATGCTGAAATTCTACATGGTGAGCTCAGGAAACCGTCATGTGTGGTACTTGTTCAGATTGCTCCACACACATGGCGGGTAAGACGAGCTGTGAGCAATCAAACCTTGCACATTCTGAGGGGGAGTTTCAATTTTCTCCTCCTGGCGCGTTACATTGAAAAAGCAAGGAATCTCTCAACGGATGCAACATTCTAGGGGGAGTGATCAATGTTATCCTTCCCGGTGCCTAAAAATGACAAAGCATACCGAGTGCTCCAGTTGAGGGGGAGTACAGATAGAAAATGAAGAAAGTAATGAGAGAACATGTCCCTATGGCTTAGTAAACCCAACTAAGCCTACCCAAGGGACAAAGCCGAGCGTAAGTGCGTATGTGAGCGAGTGAGTGAGTGAACATTATGAGCATTAGGAAGCAGAAGGCTCAAGTGAGAAGAAAAACAATTATCAATGATGAGTCTGCTACCTCAATTGTCTGCTATGAATTGAACATTTGCTCCTAGCCACTAAAATACTCTGGACTATCCCCCCCCATAGGTTCAGGACTGAATTTATTCAGATCCCGGGTAGAAGTCGCTGCATTTTGTCCAAACGGCGCATGCACAACCCTACCCTAGACCACTCACTTGTCTCCCAACAGACAGGTGTTTAATCATAGTTCACGGGGAACCGCATCTCTCATTACTGTCTCCTTTCGAGGCAAGTAATACTGACTACAGTGGCCTCAGCCCCATGCCACTGAACTTTCATTGATCACGTCGTGTCTAGTTACTCACTCCCAAATGTTTTGAAATTTTATAGGACACAGACGCACTTTTAGAGTCAGTTGCAGGTCTACATGACCCGCGAGAACTTCCATAGGTCTCATCTATTGCAGATGTAGACTAATGATTGAAAGGAAGTCCTGTTGTTGCAACATAAGAATCACCAACATTTTCAGGCCATTGCTTAAGAGTTTATCTCTATAGTGATGATAACGGGCGTCTTCACGACCCCGGGGGGCTACGTTATCTTTTTTAGATTCTGCTTGTTTTTCATGTTTTTATTTCCGCAGAATAAAAGAATAAAAGCATGACGTCCCGATTCATCGGATCGTCATGAGGGGGAGAGTGGTCCACATGCTGTTAACACTGAACAAATCATTCTGGGACACTTCACTCCTCCATCACAAAATTCAACACCCTCTCTACTATCTCCGCAACTCAAATCAAATGGTCAGCTACACTCACAAATCAACCATCATTATGTTCCGTTGTGCCACCGACAAGTTCTCCTCTAAAGCATTCATTCCAAATAGTCAAAAAGACTACATTGTGGAGGAGACAGAGGTCAAATACTCGTGTCCTGAAGATGAATTCCATGGGCGTCTCCTATTCTCCAAAGAATATTCATTCTAGAGGCGCCACCGGACTTCATCCAAGCTGATCAAGAGCAACTTCTGGAAGGCAAGGACTAAATGCAAGATACTGAAGGTCCCTCAACCCCCGACATCAAAGATCAAATTGTCAAGAAGACATCAAAGGGGAGATTGCAAGGATTTCTTCAGATAGCCTTCTTCAGAAGTCAAGTTCAAAGACAAAGGAAGCTCAATAACAACAAAGACAAAGATATCTGCGCTGCAATGCTGATTCAACACGATTGATCACCAAGGGGGAGATTGTTGGGAATATTTTATGGTGTTCAATCTAGTTAGTTATGTTTGTATTTGTGTAGTTATCAATTAAACGTGTAATATGGGCCACAAATGTGTATCAGCCCGGGGGCTTCCTTGTAACCCGTAAGTTAGCCAACTTCTCCTATAAAAGGAGGCTAACTTACGGGAACCCAAATAATCGTGAGAGGCTTAGAAACGCAGAGGCGTAAAGATAGAGAGAGTAGGGTTGTCGCTGCTCTCCTTCTCCAGGGAGAGCAGCGACCGTTTTTCATACGATATACCAGATTCGCGTTCAATCTTCGACATATCTTTCTATCTGCTTCTTTATAACTGCTTAGATTGTATGATTGTTAAGTATTCTGGGACTAACATGCTCTATTTTATTTTAGATTGGAAATGAGTTTCCATTTCAAGAATACTTTGATGAGGTGAAGAAGTAGTTTGGTATTCGGTGTTTTCAACCCCCACACGTTACATATTGCAGAATTTTAGGTGTAAAAAAACCAGCATTATATTTTGACTAAAAACCCAATTACCAAACAGAAATCATAATGCATTTCTCCATTAGAGATGCTCATCGTGTCATTGGCCAAAGTACTTGATATAAAATAGAAATAATTCAAAAGTAATTGAGAAAAATAGATAATGTTATGCCTAAATTATGTTGAAATAATGAATGGGGCCAAGTTCAACCCATAAAAAAATGTTGGGTGTGTTTCGGAAAAACGAAGAAATATTAATTAAATAAAATTAATTAATAAACAAAATAGCTAAAAGAAAACAGAAAATAAGATGGAGCAGATTTTAGCCTCAAGAAAACGTGAGGAAAGTATTGTGCGTTGTCAAACCGTGTGTTTGTTGCAAAGCACCTGCCAGCTATTTATAGGAGGATTTGTTGTGTGTTAAATGAGGTGTTAATGGACCTGAACGTTGGACATCAATGACCAGTCCGTTGGGCATTGAATCGTTCATAAACTGTCCATTTAAAGAGAAGAACGTTGGGCATTAATTGTTGTAATGGACCAGAAGACCTTCTGTTGCGAATAGAAGGCCTCGAGGGTTTCTGTTCCGGGAAGAAACAAAATTAGACCGTAACTTTGAATGATAGGTTTTCGGACGACATTCGTGTCTGCAGATCGCCCGCGCACACGAGTCGCGGTTTTTCTTCTCTGTTTCGGGATTTGATCAGCACCCCCCCTGCGCGTAAGAGAGAGCCTTTACCCTTAGGAATCTTAACTTCTTAAAAGAGGCTTCCCTTTATAAGGGGGTGAAAATCCCTTGAGTTTTTCGGTGTGGGATAAAACACACTAGAAACTCATCATTTTCCCAGTTTTTCCATTTCAACGAGTGAACTTCGAGAATCAATTTCTCATTCACCCGTTATCCGTTTTGAGTGTACCACATATCGAATTGTAGCCCTTAACAAGGACAATCCGAAACCACTTTGACCCGACCCAAATCGGAAGTGGACCCCACTCAAATAATTGCCCCAAAATGACCATTTAATGCAAATTTTAACACATTTTTCCAACAAAAAACACTTCCTAATAAACAATGAAATTAGTTGATGGTCATTATACTCCTTAATAAGTTAAATAACCGAATTAGATACCAAATGTGATTTGGTAGTGTTTTGTTAGATAGTCCGTATATAAATATGTTGTGTGTAAAATACGTATTACTACGTATTAATTATTTTCTCTAATAAAAATGAGGAAGAGTAAGAGCCTGTACTTTTTAAGTTATCAATTTGATAAGTTAATTTTTCTATGGAACACGTAATATTTAATTTTGCATATTAAATTGTATAATAATCAAAACGATCAAATAGTTATCAATTTGACCTCATTTAATAACTTTTTAAATTATTTTCTCTAATAAAAATGAGGAAGAGTAAGAGTCCGCACTTTTTAAGTAATCAATTTGGTAAATTAATTTTTCTACACGACACGTAATATTTAATTTGTGCATATTAAATTGATAATAATCATAATAATTATAGTTGACCTAACTTTTTAACCAATTTGACTTTAATTTCTATAGTAGAACAACTTTATTATTTTTGCATATATATATATATATATATATATATATATATATATATTAATAAAATATACGTAGTATTTGATATGTAATAATTCTATAATTTTATTGCGATTTTCTAATTTCATCATCCACCCACAGTTTCATCAATTATAATATATTCCTGAGATTCACCCCATTTCACAAATAAATTAATGATTTCAAACATCCAACTTGCAAAGAAGGCAAGCAAAATGCAAATGACTTGTACACGTTGACGCCATGGTATGCAAAGTTGCACATATTGCGTGTCATTTTGTAGCTCCTTTCCTGACTTGGGGAAAAAATCAAGAATTTTGCCTTCTTTTCTGCTCGAATTCGCCACTTTGTTTTCTTGAAAATGCCACTTTTTTACTTTCTAATTTATTTTATTTTATTGGTCTATGATCTTCACTGTAGCGCTCGAATTCGCCACTGTTGTAACTGACGGTGCGAGCATGAAAGATTAGGGCTTTTTTCTGCTCCGTGGATTATCCTACTCATTGTTACAGAGCATGAAAGATCCTATTAACTAGCCTTGCCTTTCTTTCTTTCTTTCTTTGCAAAATCAGAAAGCTTTTACACCCTTTTTCGCCAGGTTAGGGAATATTATGATTATTATCGCTTTATTTTGTGGTTTGATTTGGATCTGGTCATGATGGATGATTTGTATACTTCTCTACAGGACTGAATGTTTCTGGGGTTTCAATTCGTATTTAGACTGGACATGACAACTGTCCACCTGCTTCATCACTGAGCGTATAAAATTCATTGTAGTTGAATAAGATTTTAGGAATAAATAATTTCTGGAGTCTAAGTATTCCTCTTTTTGGTGTCCGTGAATAATATCTACATATGGATGGAATAAGAGATCTCGATCATGGGACTTCACTGATTTTAGCCAATGAGGTGAATTTGGAAGAAGATAAAGATGACTTTAGAAGCTGTTGTGGAGATGTAGAGTTGGAGTTCGAGCTGATTTTAGCTGAAGATGGTGATGGTGAACTGGAAGAGGGAAGTGAAATATCTGATAAAGATTCCAGTGAAGGTGAGGAATCAGCAGATGAGCTACTGGTGGGTGGAGAACGTGATGAAGAGGCAGATAAGGGAAAGGTATGTGAAACCTCTGAGACAGATATTGAAGAACACTCTGAGAGGGACTTGAAGGAGAAGCAGGAATTAATGAAGCTGGCTGTAGAGGAAGAAGGTGAAGAAGTGAAGGAGAATAAGGAGTTGAAGAGTGAAAACCATGAGATTGTTCTTGATGAACATGCAGTTAAATTGTACTTCAAAGGAACTTCTGTAATTAACCCTGGAGACTCTGGGTTATCTGGGATCGGAGTGGTTATGGAGAGTACAAGCACTACTCCCATGGAAGTGCAGAAAAAGCTTGAATTCTTTGTAGAGCAGTTGGCTGCAGATTATCTAGCCTTAATTGATGGGCTTGCACAGGCTGCTCGTAATAAAATTAGGCGAGTACATGCTATTACTGACTCTGAAATTTTTTACAATCAGGTTAGTGTTGATCTGTTCTGAAGACCTATATGTTTTCTTGTTTGGTTATTTTATGATGTCATTTTGAGCTATGAATGAACTCAAACTGTTGTTTTATCTCGTGATTACTTGTACACTGAGAAGTGATGACTGCAGTTTCTATATGGGCCAAGTGTTTATCTTGCTCTAGTATTGACTTTTCTTCGTTACCTTGATTATTATAAACTAGTAGTAAATGTTTTCAGATTATGGATAAAAAGGATATTGAGAACCCACTTCTCATGGCAATGAGGCAAAGGGTATTAGAATATGCCAATGACTTGGAACTATTTGCTATAAAAGTTGTTGCTGAGAGTAGTAGTAATCTTGCAAGAGCATTGGAGCTTGCTCAAGTAGCAATAGGGGTTGTCTCCCCATGTTTGAAGGGACACGAATCAACAGAAGTCTGTTCTATATGCTGTGAGGATAAGCTTGGATTGATGATGATGACCTTGAAATGCTCCCACAAATTCTGTTCCCACTGCCTGAAGGCTTATGTGGAGGGCAAAGTAGAATCCACACAAGTTCCTATTAGGTGCCCTCAGCTGAGCTGCAAGTATTACGTGTCTTCTGCAGAATGTAAATATTTTTTGCCTGTTTCTTCCTATTTATCTTTAGAGACAATGCTTGTGGAAGCTAATGCTCTTGATGCAGACAAAGTTTACTGCCCGTATCCTAATTGTTCAGTTCTTCTTGACCCTCATAAATGCTTTTCAATGAGAGCTAGCTCACCCGACGATAGCAGTTGTGTGGAGTGCACAGCCTGTCAGAGGTTTCTTTGTGTGGATTGCAGGGTCCCGTGGCACCCTTCAATGACTTGCGAAGAGTACCAAAGTATCACGCCTGAGGAAAGGGATATTGAGGGTATCACTTTGCACCGTCCGGCACAAAATCCAAGGTGGTTTTATAATTAAAACAGTGCATTAATCATCTGTATGAAGTATAACAAAAGATTGAAAATAGTTGGTAGTGCTGGTAACAAATAATAAATTCAATGCGTTATGCATCTACTAAGAATAACATTCATCTTCTCTTCATTGACAAATCACACAGTTTATGAAAATGAGATCTTTCATTGTAGTGATACAATAAGTTGCCTAAAGTGCCCGTATTTAAAATAAAGTAATTACTCACTATTAGTAGTACTCCCTCCGTCCCACAATGAACTTCACAGTTTGACCTACACACATATTAAAGAAATAAACTTACCATGGGGTAAATTTTACTGTTTTAACACTGTTTCGACACTGTTTGGCACTTTTTTGCACTGTTTGACACTGTTTTGATGTAGATTAACTTGCCATTTAAAGAAATGGGAACTTGTTTCTGGGACATTCAAAAAAGGAAATTGGGAAGTTCATTGCGGGATGGAGGGAGTATTATTTAATTATTCTCTTCCGTTTTTTGTATAAGAAGGGTGTAATTTGGATAGGGATGTACTTAATGTGCATAGATTTGTATAAATGATTGAACAGACACATAAAAACGAACAAACAAACTGGGTAAATGAAGGCAAGATGAATAAAAACGAAGCAAGGATTAGCTATCTTTTAATTAAAAGTGAATCTCAGGAAAGATAGTACAGAGTATTTATTAAATAAAATACATCATTACTTGAAAAAGGACGGTGCTGTCCTACGTAACTATGTTTTAATTAAATATGCAGGTGTGGGCACGAGTTCTGTTTTTCATGTGGGGCGGAGTACAGGGATGGGCGGCAGAGTTGTGAATGTGCATTGTGGGCCGAAGATTATAGTTACAGTGACAATTATAGTTATAATTATAATTATAACAACAATTCACGGGAGTTGGCGCAACAGTTTGGTGAGCACTGGGCGTGGGACTCTTTCGAGTCCCTCCCCATGATCATGGACGCGTATACAGATGAAGAGAGATCCCAGCTTGAACTGATCCAGAGGTTTCTTGCAGGAGGCTTCAGTCTGACCACCACCGATCACCAATCCCCCACTCCTCCACCACACTCTTACACTGACCCCATGAAGGATCTTCATCAGCTTCCCTGGCTGGAGCGGTTCGTCTCTCTCATCAATGACAACAATTACTATGAAGACATATTCCAATGATGACAAAACCTCCAGAATGAATATAAAATAAAATTTCCCTTCGGATTAAGTATTTCATAATGTAAGTGGTTTGGTGGCATGTCTGGAGATACAGAGTATCTCACTCTGGAGATTCTCCGTTTGTAGATTATATTTATCATGTCAATTTCCTTTTTTTAGACTTTTTATTACCCTAAACATAGGGAAAATATGTGCACTCCCTTTTATTGGAAGAAAGGTAAGTGAGATCATACATACCGATAACAGAACATGTATCATGAACTAAAGAGCTCCCATGAAACTACTTTAGATGGTTCTTTTTTTGTCCTAGACAGATAGATGATTGAGGTTTTTCAACTATTACCTCTTTGAGCTTCATCTTACCCATCTACTCTCCCTAACTTGGAAGTGGTTCTATGCTGACTATTTTTCATTGCAGGGATGTGACCTGAGTTGAGGATTGATTGCTGAGTTAAATTCAAACTATGCTTGATTTGGTTCAGTTCTAGTTTGTTTGTTTGGGTTGGATTTCTCTTCCTGAAATGTGTTGGTGTTTTTTTGTATTTTTTTGGTTTTATATTATCTAGTTTTGGTTGCCTCAGATTAAAAATGTTTGAAATATACTCCGTACTACGTATAACCAAAACTAAAATTGTACTCCGTATTTGTTTTTAGTATCACTTTGGCATCGTTAATTACTTAATTTTATAGAATGACCTTTAATCATACAATCGCTTTTTTGAATTCATAATGGCCTTCTTTGGCAATTAATAGTTTGTTGCAAATTGTGGTAGCGAGATGACAATAATCAATTGTCTTAGCTATTTTAATTGGTTGATTAAGTTAACTTGTTGTTAGCTATGGTAAAATGGCTATTTAAAAATAGTTCGTATAGTGTAAAATGACACATAAGGGCGACATTATAGTATGTATGGAGTATTTTAATTATTCGTTATAATCTTTATATAATTCGTTATAACCGGTTGGTTGGCCGGTTCGGGCCACCCGGCCCGGTGGGATGTCGGTTCGGGCTCGGGCCCTTCAAAAGGTGAACTGGCCCGGGCCAATTTTTTTTTTTTGATTTTTTTTAAGTTTTTGGGTTGGGCTGAGTATTTTGGGCCATTTGAGGTGGTTAGGGTTGGTTTGGGGGTGAGGGAGAGGGTTGGGGGTTAATTAGGAAAAGCCAAAAAAAAAAAAAAGAACCGAGGCCCGGCCCGACCCGGACCCGGGGGTTACCCGGGTCGGTTCCGGGTCTCCCCTTCATGAACCGAGGCCCGGCCGGGCCCAGACTCGAACCGGGCCCGAACCGGAACCGGTCCATCCCTATAAAGTAGTAGTGTTGCTACAGTTTTTGGAGAGAAATTTGTCTCCCACTTTAATGACATAATTGTAAATTATGTGTTTATATCAAATTGCAATTATTGAACCTAGCCCGACCAGCCGTCCATTATTGTTACATGTAAGGTAAATAAGTAAATGCTTTAAACATACCCGCACGGGTAGCTCAGTTGGTTCAGTGGTGAGAAATTTGGACCAAGTGACCAAGGTTCGAAACCCGCAACGGCCGTGTGGAGGTCACAGAACCTGAAATAAGACTGGATCTCTGGTGCGCACGGGAAAAAGGCCTACCATAATTGGGCCGACTGAGTCACCGTGATTAACATCCTCCCAAAAATCCTGTCGGGTCGGGGTATGGGGGGCTCCTGGGGTGGGAGATTCCACCTTTTGGACCAAGTAAATGCTTTAAACATGGTAAGATATTAATGCTAAGCAATCATATTCAAAATGATACCACATATGATATTTCTATCTTTATTTGGTTGTTTATTGTGGAATATTATACTACATAGAACAATTCATTTATATGTAATGTTTTAATCAATATGTATAATTATTAGTGTGTTTCATAAAACTCTAAAACAGAAGAATCATAAATGTTTTTAGTGGGTGTTTGGATCTACTTCTTCAAACTATTTATATTCTCTAAGAGTGCAAAAGAGGATGTTGGAGTGTTTGGATGAATATAAATAAATTGTTCTATGTAGTATATTAATACATCTTTATATAATATTCCATATAAAGTAACATTTTTGCGCCACAATTGAAGGAAAAAATCTCACCCAAAGTGTTTCAGGAAATAATAATGGAAATTATTGTAAAATGTAAGAGTAATTATTGTAGAATGCAAAAGTGAAATCCCGCCCATGAGAGGGCATAATACACGTATATGAATGTATGGTAAGAATGTAAAAGCATTTATTGCCCAGAAATCGTTATCAATTAATTAATACATGTAAATCATCTGCAACCGAGGTAAGCTGCCAACCTGCCATAAAAAAATATACAAGTATCAATATCAATATATAAGGAAAGATGATAGGTATTATATATATAAGATATTAAATATATTACCATATGTACGCAACACACACATATCAATATGACTTTTGGCATATACGAAGTTTTAAATATTACATATTAATTCCCCTCTTTCAGAAATTCAAGAGTACAAAGAAAGGTAACCTTTTTACAAGTTTGTTTTTTATACTTCAGTGATCTTAAGTTAATCTGTCACCCTTTTGAAAAACAGTTTTTACATTTTTTCAAAAATCATTATTATGGAAAACGAAAATCATTTTTCAAAACCTTAAAACTGCATGGAATGTTAAAGTAGAAAAAATTTGTATAGTTTTTAAGATTGTACTTAATGTGTAAACAGTTTTTAATATCTTAGAGAATTATTTAAAGTTGTACTTCTATTGGGAGGGAAGTAAAATACAATCTTAAAATATTTTAAAGGCATACTTACATGATATTAAAGCATAGCCCAGGTATGTAAAACTAATGAGTAAACAACTTTAAATAATTCTTACAGTTTTTCAAAAATCATTATGATGGAAAACGAAAATCGTTTTTCAAAACCTTAAAACTGCATGGAAGGTTAAAGTAGAAAAACTTTAACCGATACATTTTCAAAATTTATCCTTGTTGTCATATAATACCAATGAAAATCCAAACAAAAGAAAACAAGATTTCGAAACTTCGTCCATTTTGTGGCATCAACGTTTGGGTCACATCTCACGGGATCGAATACTAAGCCTTGTGAATGATGAAATATTGCAATCCCTTAGCTTGATTTTAGTGTTTTTGAAACACGTGTGAAATGTCTTAAAGGTAAAATGGTAAAAGGAAAATAACAAGAGGTGCCACAAGGAGTTCCGGTTTACTGGAATTAATTCATACGGACATTTGTGATCCTTTTCCCGCTGGGATTACTATACACAAGTCATTTATCACATTTATAGATAATTATTCACAATTTATATATTTGTACTTAATTAATGAAAACCTGATGCGCTTGATGACAAGTTTAAAACCGTTAAGACCGAGGTTGAGAATCCACTTAAGCTTAAGATAAATGTAGTGAGATCAGATAGAGGAGACAAGTATTATGGTAAACATAATGATGTAGGTGAGGCTACTAGACCCTACTTTGAATTTTGTAAGAAACATGGGATAGTGAATCAATTTACCATGTCGTGTACTCCTGAGCAAAACAATGTTGTTAATAGAAGAAATAAGACCTTTATGAACATGGTATGTAATATGTATGTTGGCTAATACAAGCTTACCTAAATTTATACGGGTCAATCCATTAAATACAGTGGTTCATATACTTAATATATATAGGGTTCCTTCTAAATATGTCACCAAAATCCCTTTGGAAATTTGACGAGAAGGAAACTGAGTCTTAGGTGTATGAAAGTATGAAATTGTTCTATTGAAGCTAAGCTTTACAATTCCAACCAAAGGAAGGTCGACATGAAAATCGTCATTTCCTCCTTTATAGGGCACCCTGAACATTTAAAGTGTTATTGATTTTATTGACTGTCTCACACTATTCACATTATCGAGTCTCTACATGCCAATTTTCTAGAGATTGAACACAAATATTAGTGGGAGCAAGTTTAATAATGAGGTAAAATTGGATTACATGTTAAAAGAGCATTTTATAAAAACAATTGTGTCACATGACACCAAACTAGTGGATGTATGCTCAAGGGGAGTTGCTTTAAAACATGTGCCCTAAAATTACTAAATCTAACTTATGAAAAATAAATGTACCCTTTTCAAATTTTTTTACTATTTTTTTAGTAAAACCGTTCAATTTTTTTTTACTAAAAGTGTTTTTCATCACATTCTAGCAATCTCAAACATCTTTTTTAACTCTAGCGTACGGCTTACAATAAGTTGTACATGCTACCTTCGTTATGTACCTTAAGTTTGTTAGATTCTATGATATCCTTAAGGTATCCTACCTTTATCCATATGGATCAATCAGAATGATGTAGTTGAATTATTTAAATCTAAATTAAAAATGATGTAATGATTTGAACCAATCAAGTGAGTGATAGGTACAGTGTCTCATATTTTAAATGGGTATCGGAGTTGTCACCCTTAAGTTTATAATGATAGTTTTTTATTGTTCATATAAAACACACCATAAATGTATTACAAAAGTCATCAAAGAATGCTCAAAACATTATTTATGTCTCACTTTATCGCGCGTCCAATTTTTTGTAAGATGAAAACCATAATCCTGATCCAGCTGGCCGGCTCAACTACGCAATTTATATCATGTGACCGGCGCACCATGAGGATGGTGTGCCCGGTCCCAAAACCCCATCCTCCGCCTGCGGTTCAACCCCTTCCAAGCCCTAGGCACCCCCTTCCAACCACCTCAACCGTTGTGCCCCACCGCACAACCCAAGTAGCCGAAAAAATTTTCCGCCGAATCGATGCAAAAGAAGGATGAAGGCTGATCTCCATCTTCGTCGCAGGGTCTGGTTGCGATTTTCGTCGCAAGGAACTGGCTTCCATCTTCGTCGCAGGGGCTGGTTGCGATTTTTGTTGGGGTTATCACGTAGGGGGTGATAATCGAGTACTTGGATTGCTTAAGGATCGTGTAAGTTCACTTTCCGAATTGATATTTCTCCCCTATGCCTGGGTTACAAGAAATTCAATCTAGGATAATCCTTAAGGACACTCAGGAACTTAGGCACAAGAACTATAGCCAAACTAGTGAGTATATGGATTGATATTTTAAGTTGAATGCCAAAAATGATGAAGATATGTTGGATATCTTTTTTCATGCTTCTCTGTAGAAAATATGGTGATATATAACCATATTACACGTCCTGGGCAGTTGCAACACGTTCTGGAATAACTGTGATAGTTTTTGGAAAAACTGCACGAAATTGCCCAACCGCTCTAGACATCGGTCTAGAACTACAAAGTTGGTCTACTGAGTGTTCTACCTCGAGTTCTACTGCCGTAGACACTTTGGAATAGAACACGTTCTTATATACAAGTGTGCACTCCACACCTCCGAGCTTGTATTAGAACACGGTTCTAATACTCATTGGCACTCATGTCATTTCTAACTACACAAAACGGTCGGTGACACTAAAATCACCAACAATTTTCATGGCAAGGGACTGGCTTCCATCTTCGTCGCAGGGGCTGGTTGTTGAAGGTGTATTTTTGGCCGGAAATTACATGTACGTAAAGGCGTTTTACATTTCAAAGGGGTGAAGTTACATTTCAGTTAAATGAATTTACATCTGATGGAAGCTTTCAAGTTACATTTCAGTTAAAGAAATTTACATTTCAACGAGTTACATCTGAATGAGTATAATTTACATTTTGATAAAACTTAAGTTAGATATGGAATCACATGTTTTACATTTGATATAACTTTGGGAGAAGCACATTATAACAACTGACTCAACTAATGGGAGAAGCACATGTTGCCTCCATAAAACAGAATAAATTCACGTACGGGTACGTACGGATCTGATGACATACTCCCTGCGTGTGCCAGCCTGCCTCTCACACACTTTATCGTGCGTACACAAACGCGCGTACATACTGCGTATTCTCCATCAGTTAGTTACTCTTATAAGCCTCTCACATACGTACTCCGTATATATTACAACGGTATACTATACGTATGTACTACGTATAAATCATATCCTCATCGACTTTCTAAAGGATTCCGTACTTCACAGATAGAATCGCAGTTGGATCAGGCCGGCTATGGCGGAAAAAAAGAATATAGCTTCAGCAGCATTGTTCTTGATCTTCATCATTACTTTCACAAATGCACCCCAAACCCTGGTAGCCCAAGGAGACAACAAGTGCGGGACTGAATCCCAAAACCCATGCACCAACAAATCCAAAGCCCTTGGCTTGAAAATCATAGCCCTCCTATGCATACTATTCGCGAGTGTTATCGGGGTTTTTCTCCCGCTCGTTACCAGCTCCTTCCCCGCCCTACACCCCGCGGGCGTCGTCTTCACCGTCGTTAAATCGTTAGCTTCCGGGATAATCCTCGCCACCGGATTCATGCACGTCTTGCCCGACTCTTTCGACATGTTGCGGTCGAGTTGCCTCAATGACAACCCGTGGCATCGGTTCCCCTTTAGCAGTTTTGTAGCCATGTTGTCGGCCGTTGTGACCATGGCCATCGACTCCCTTGCCACGAGCATGTATAGGAAGAAGAACGCCGCCGAATCTCCCCGGGACGCGGCGAGCCAAAATGTCGAGATGGGATTTACCCCGGCTGACAAAGGAGTCGAAGAGGACACTCAAATTTCACGTTCTAGAGTGATTGCCATGGTATTTAATTAATTAGATGCTAAATACTGTATATAGTTTGACAGAAATGATCCTGTCTAGTATTTCTCCGTCCGAAAGCCGGGGTCGGAACACCGCCGTTTGGGGCGGTTCCCGGTGGAATGTTTTGATGAATTTTTTTGAGTATGTTCCTCATGAAGTCTAGTTTATACACGAAAAATTGCAGCTCTAAATTCTATCGGGAAGGCAGTCAAACCTTTTTTTTGAGGTTGACTGCGCCAAAATATACATATAAAAACGCAGTCAACTTCAAAAAATGATTTGACTGTTTTACCGATCGAATTTTGAGCTGAAATGTTTTTTGGATAAACTAGACTTGATAAGGAATATGGTAAAAAAATTTAATCAAAAAATTCCACCAGGAACCGCCCCAAACGGCGGTGTTCGGACGGGGGAGTGCTGGACATACAGGATCATTTCTCTATAGTTTGATTATTTTAGTGTGATGTGATCTTTTTGTTAATTTGGAAGTTGTTTTTATAAATGTGTGGAAGGTATTGGAGATTGGGATAATAGTGCATTCAGTGGTGATTGGGCTTTCTCTAGGAGCTTCAAGTAACACTTGCAGCATTAGAGGACTAATTGCTGCCCTCTGTTTTCATCAAATGTTTGAAGGAATGGGACTTGGAGGCTGCATTCTGCAGGTATGCTTGAATTAAATTCAACTCTTTACAATCAATAAATTCATTATTTTAAAGTCTTGTTAAACAATAATGAATGTATCATGCAAAATAATGTCTAACATTGTACTCTACAGTAAAATTTACTCAATAAAAAAATGTTTCAAAACGTTCTTTAAGGAACGGAGTTAGCTAGTATTGATGTGTTATAAATTTATCACACAAATGCTCGCATGCAGGCGCAATACGGTTTGTTAAAGAAGGCGAGCATGGCGTTTTTCTTCTCAGTGACAACGCCTTTGGGGATAGCGGTGGGGATAGGATTATCCAACACATATAAAGAGAACAGTCCCCGCGCTCTTATCACTGAAGGATTGCTGAACGGATCATCCGCGGGCCTTCTCATTTATATGGCTTTGGTAGATCTTCTGGCTGCTGATTTCATGGGCCAAAAGCTACAAGGGAGCATCAAGTTACAGATGTATTGTTTCTTGGCCGTGCTTTTGGGATGTGGTGGGATGTCTATCTTGGCCATGTGGGCTTAATTAGCTTGGTTCATGCCTGCATGATCAGTGACCATGAAGTCTTTTATTTATGGTGTAGAATCTTAGTAATAAATATATAGTATATACTTCCTGTTTATTTATTCCCATTGAATACATAGTTTTAGTTTTGTTTCAATAATTATCATTAGCAATGTGCCTTATATTTATTCTTATTTTAATCTATTATGGTCTTGAGTATTGGGTTTCTTGTATGACTCCATCCTGGTCAAATGTCATATTTTGCAGTAGAATTTCCCTGTCTAGTAATACACTTTGTAACAGATATCAGTGAACCTATGGTCTTAAAAGCTTGAATCCTTTAATTTGTAGAGCAGTTGGCTGTAGTCTGTAGATTATTTCCCCTTAATGGATGGGCTTGTACAGGCAGGCTGCTCATAATAAAATGAGGCGATTACATGCTATTACTGACTGAAATTTCATGCAATCAGGGTAGTGTTCATCTATTCTAAATAAAGACCTATACTTATTCTTGTTTGGTTATTTATGATGCCATTTTGAGCTATGCATGAATGAACTAAAAGTGTTGTTTTTTCTCATAACAGATTACTTGTATACTGAGAAGTGATGACCTTTCATCTGTTGCTTGTAATCAAAATAGTGTAGTGAATAGCCATGGAAATAGCCAGGGCAAAATAGGTAGATTATTGTGTAAATTGCGAAGTCAAACTGAGCAGGAAAACTTAGAATTATTAATTTTAGTGCAGCAAGAGATTCTCTAAATCACAGCTGGATACTATTAATTTGTTTGGAAAGAAGATAACATATTTATTATTAATGAAGGTAACAAGAGATCATATAAAGTAATACGAAGTATAATAGCTCAAGGATATACTAGGATGAGACATAGAACGGATTAGCCTCAAGGACCAATCGTAATTGACTTTTCTTGGTCAATAGCAATTCACTTTGACCAATAGTATTTTTTATACGAAATTATTTTGAATTTGAAAATTATATAAAAATGTTTCTTATTCAAAATATTTCCATAAAAGTAAAAAATTTATAAATCATATAGAAATATAATAATTAAAATCATTGTCATCATTGCATCCATTGACCAAGAAAAATAAATATGGTGAACATTTTCGAGACAAAAACAGTATTAACGTAAATCAGACTTCATTAAAGAAAACATAAATTGAAATTGAAAAGCGAATAAGTAAATGCAAAGTTTTGTCAACTTAATGTATCATCACAAACTTGTTGAAAATTGAAAATTTGACTTTTTCGAATTAAGATATCAACTCTTAATTACTCCGTACATTTGAATTTGGATTTCAGAACTTTATAGAGATTTTAATGTAGTTTCTGAATATATAAATTTTAATTATTAGAATTGAAGTATTTAACAACAGAGGGATTTAACTTTAACATTGATTGACAAAAAATGTTGATTTTGAAAAACAAATCGGGATGGAGGCATTACTCAACAAAGATAAACTTGCTACTAGTTATTTAAATTTGTTAGTATTTTTTCTATTTATATACAAATATAATTAGACAAATATTTAAATTGTGGTACATACTACGGAGTACTTTTTATTTTTGTCTGTGTGAATATCGATTCTCTTTATAAAACGTCGATCAAACTGTCTCTAGACAGACAAGGTGGGTGCAGTGGAAACTGTCAGAACAATTCATTTAATTTTCAGTCTGCCTTTATTTATTCTAAACCAAAGCAATACTATCTATAATGCAAAGAATTTAATAAGTAGTAGAAAAAAATACTGCCTATGTTGCATCTGGGGTCTACAGACTACATACTAACAGAAGTGGATGAAATGTTTCTTTTTGAACATAATAATTTAGACTAATTAATTCACATGTGGATTGCAAATTCATAAACTGGCGGGATAAGTTCTAAACCAGACAATTTCTTTTTAAAATGTACCCTATTGTTATAAAACCTTTTTCATAATGTCATAGACACTCAGTCCATTTCTTCAACTGGATAACTCAGTCTCTAGGCACTCGAAATCATTGACAGTAGTCAAGTACTGAGTTACCGAATTGGCTTAACTACTTCAAGAACAATGATATACTCCATATCATTTTTAGGTGCAAAGCAAAAGAATGATGTAGAAAAATAAATGAATTCAAATACAGAAAAAAATTAAGTACAAAATGTATCAAATTCCACATAGCGGCAAGATATAATTTACCGCAACCAAAATGCTATATTGATGCTTTCTGTACATTTTTTACAACAAAAAATTGTCTTATGTAAAGGCAATATCAATATCAGATGTATATCCAAACAACGGTAACTTGGTATATATTCAGCACTGGACATGATTAGAACCATAGCTAATAGACTGCAAGCTTGTATCCGACATATTTATCACCCACGGACGAGGACCGTTAGATGGTCCAACTAAATTATAAGCAAACGAAGGCCACCGCGCATCCACACCGCACATATTTGTACTGCCCATTTTGATCATTTTTCGAGTTCTATCAAGAACCACAAGGCTCGAAAATGTTGAAAAACTGTTTCCCACAAATATATCAGACCTTAAACAAACTTCATAGTCTATAGCTGATTGAATAAGGTAAGGGTGTTTCTTATAAATCTCTGTAACGCCCATTGTTTTCTTTTCGCGTATAATCAACCCTTCGCCCCAACCATTCAAAATAGAATCATCATCTTCAAGAAGACTATCAGCAACCGCAAGATAAATGATTATCGGATTCTTGAGGCCTATTATGTTTGGGACTCTTTCCATAATCTCTTCCTTGCTGCTACAAATTTCACTGATATTCAATCTCTGCTCCAATTTCTTGCAGTGAATCATCCAATCTTTTTCAATTCTCATATGGACCGCCACATAAGGCACCAGCAGAGACAATTTCACACTTTGCTCTCTGATCTTTGAAATAACTTTTTCAGCTTCTTTTGATATTTCATCTATGATAACTAGGCACTCGAAGACCTGCGCATAGTCTTTGGTAGGCCAGTGGTCATGCCATAAAAACGGGTTCTTCCCAACCACTTTGATTGTTTCATACTGATCATATGGATATTTGCTGAACTCCATTAACTGCTCAAAATCTTTCTCCACCGTCCATCTCCTCCCACTACCCTTTTGTAGCTCAAATACATCACTACGATTGGAAACTTCTGGATAACGCCCTAACTGGACAAAATTGGAGCAGACAGAATTGAAGGTGTCGAACTGAAAGACCTTATCGAATGAAATGGGGTCTAAGAGATTGGCTTCTTTGTAGAAAAGTGAAGCACTCAAATTTGGCATCAAAAGTTTCCTTTTCAACATTCTTGCAGTCAAGCACGCCCTTGCAAAAGCAATTTTCTGATTATTTAATCCCCATACGATCTGTGGGACCTCCAAAAATTTTGGTTTCTCAAGCAAAGATGCAAACTTTGGAGGAGGAGGGGTCTTCGATAATCTGGGAAAGAGAACAACTCTCAGCATCAAGGCAATCCCAATGAGAGCCACACATCTGCATGCTATTGAATTGATAAACTGCCACAAGAATCTCAAATGCTTGCCGTTCAATACTTTCATTATAAGCACTCCTCATAAATCAAATAACTCAGAGCAAGTTTCCCATATTAAGAACTACAGAAAAAGAAAGAAAACTTGCTTATTAAATCAAAAGAAAACCCACACAATTTCAGTTGTTTGGATATTCAAGGAAAGGAATCTAACTGATCATATACATAAATGCAAATACAATAACCCATAAACTCATAAATCGATCTTCGAATATATTATATCAGCAAATAGAAACATGACAGTCAACATTCAAGATTTCACAAAGATCCCTTGAAATATACCCATGCGACACTGACACTCAATGAAATTCACTAAAGCAGATAGAAAAAAGAGATTCTAGCATGAAAGGTGAGACTGTCGTGAAAAGAAAGCAAAGAGACATCGCAATAATAAGTAATAACAACTCATGAGTCACGGACTCACGAGAATAAACAAAGACTTTCATTTTCAAACCATCCAACTGAATCCCTGAAACTGAAGAACTTCCAATACACACAAACACATTTACATATACAAATATTGGTAAAATAGATTTTTCCTCGTAATTATCGATGATCAGGATCATCAAAGGATTTCAAAATCTTGAGCAATTACGCAAAGTATATTGCGAACATCGATAAATATAATGATAACAGTGATGGAAATAAACATACCTCTCTCAGCTTATGTGAATTACAGAGTACGAATCGTCGGAAACGACCCATATAATGTAGCAGTTAGAAAAGGCAAAATGCACAGATTAAGACTGACACGGTGGATTCGACGCAGCGACAACTAGAATTCCAGCATTTACGTCTAGGGATTTTTCTTTCCCGGTTGGTTATGGAGATTTCAGAGGAGCGACGAGAAGGAGGAGACAAATTTCTGATTGACGCGTAGGACAGGGAGAATTTGCTTTGTCTTTCGCTTTAGAGATTACTACGGGGTGTTATATTGACTTTAAGAAGAGGAGACAAATTCCGATCAACTTATTTGCAAATCAAAAACAAATTCCAAGTGTACACCAAAATGTAATAATTATGTTTGTTTACATTAATTTGTTTCATACGGAGTAGTACGTATTACGTATCTCCTTTAAAACTTTGTCAAGTTTGATCGGCACAGAAAATAATAAAATAAAAAGTAGGGGTGGGCAAAAGACCCGGTTCCGTTGGTCCGTTCTGGAACGTTCCGGTTCCGTTCCGAAATTGTCCCGTTAAATTCGGGACAAACTATTTTTGTCCCATTCCGATCCCAAACCGTTTCAAAACAAAATGGGACCGGGACAAATAAAATATGTCTTGTTCCGTCCCGTTGTCTCGAATTCAAAATTGTACGGAGTATATAGTTGTGGGTTAGTGAGTCTACCATCAATTCAAATACTAATGAATATTAATTAGGTATTAGTTATCTAATATGTAAAACATCTAAAGGAGTCTAAATTATATCAAGTATGAACTATCTTGTACATACTAAAAAGAAACTCACTTATGCTTCACATGTTTCACTTCTAATAATATTGTTTGTCTTTTTATTTATTTTTGTAGTTTCTTAGTAGTATTGTGTGTGTTGGAGTTAATTGTTGTTGTTACGGTTTGTTTCGTGCAACTATCCTATTAATCTACTATTTTTTGTGTTGCATTTATCGTAAATTTTTGTATGTGTTGCATTTTTAGTGTTGTAGTTTTTGTCATGAAGTTTCTTTTTGGAGCTGTATTTTTTTCGCTGCAATTTTTTTTAGGATGTCCCGAACCGTCCCGTTCTGTTCCGGTACCGGTTTAAAAGGGACAACAGTGGGACAACATCTT